CCCCAAAACCCCAAAACCCCAAAACCCCAAAACCCCATATAAGATAATACTATTTGAAAATATTATTAATAAATATGAAAAACCAAATTCATTATGATGAGAATTTATCCGAAGAGCTATGTGACGAAAATGTATCAGCTTCAGACGTCAATATTCCAAACAATCTACTTAAAAATATGGCAGCTAATCCTCTGAGGAAGAGAAATAAGAGCGAGGAGTTTATTAAAGATTCTCCTTTTCCAATGAAGAGTAAACTAGCATTCAATAAGACCGAGAATGAAGAATCTTGAAAAAGAAATCTTCCAAATCAATGTAGAAAAAAGATGCCTCCTAAGACTTTTGCTTCACAAGGGTGTCCTCGTCTGTCAATGCTGAAGCTTGAGATAAAGGATCTCTTGAGCAAAGTTATGAGTATTAAGAGGAAGTCTGTTTCCCCTCTAATTACAAATGGTGTCAAGAATGCTACAGTCTCCATGCAAAATGGAGACTTGTTCGTGACAATGAAGGATATTGAAATAGTTGAATAACTGTTCCTTCACCTATCTAATTTATTATAAAGATTTCAAAATTATTCGGATACATTAAAGCATCTACATTTAAGTACTGGGGGTTATAAAAGCCCTGGCATTAGCTTCAGAGTGAAATACACTGACGATTTTTTGTTTAAGTAATACTGGCTGATTCTGACTGTACAGGAATTTTGATAGGTTTATGGAGATGGATTAGGTTAAATATTTTTGAATAATTCATGTTATTTATTGTTAAATTTCAGAAAACTAGCAAATTTGTCTGAAGTGTCTCTCTTCTAACATTTAAGGGTGATGATAACGTTTGTAAAACCATATGTTTTTCACAATTTGGTTAAAATTTTATTAAAATATTATTGACATTAATCACTAAAATACGTTAAAATTATTAATATTACTACTAATTCTAGATTAAAGCTCATTTTCGCAGGTATAGCATTAATTATGAACGCAGTGCTTCATCTCAAAGTTCTATAAGAGCACCTCTTGACATACTTAGTGTTCAATCTCGGCCATTTATATTTTCTAGTTTAGAAAAAAAGAAGTATTTCCTATTCACCAGAATTTGGATTCTTAGAGAGTGAGCATGGTTATATGGGACACGCATCCATTTTAGCGACTCCTTTCTGGCTTTTCGATATTTTTTAATAATCATTAGTATTTTCTAGAACTTTCATGCAAAAATATTGAGAAATTTCGCCATTTTCTAAAACTCAATGATTTAAAAGCTTCAGTTTCCAAAATTTTATCAAGTTAGCCTAGTTGAGGATATGATCTTGATTGTTCTTTTGCACTATCGATATTGAAATTTGATTTCCAGGCTTCGGAGTTCATCCAGATCATTTCTAGTAAAAGTTTGACATATTTTTATGATAGTTAAGATGAAGACCTTCATTTATATTTAACTAAGTTTCTAACATATTTAACTAGATTCATGAGTCTATTATATCCTTTTAATAATCACCTTGTTGATTAGCAGAGAATAAACCATTAGGTTTTCTGCACTTGTGCTGTGCTTATTTAGCAAAAAGGAAAAACTTTTAAGTACATTTTTAACATTTTATGTCAATAATAAAAACCTGTTTAAAGCTGGAAAATTTGAAGGCTCAATCTGTGCTCCTGTTAGTATTGAGTTTAGAAATGTAATGGAAATATTACATTTTATGAATAATATGAAAAAATTCTGAATATTCAACTAAATTCGAAATCTATTAGATTATCGACCAAGAGATGACCTTTCTGCTAGAAAGCTTAAGTAATTGTTAACATTAGGTTAGAGAAAGCTCTTTATCATTTATTACCCAAAATTTGAGTAATAGAAACAGAAATTCTGCAAATTATTGCCTGTACAGCTATGATTTTTGCCTAAAACTTTTCCATCTAGCCTAAATCTCATCCTAGTCAATCACAGTACTTCGGAATATTCTCAAATCAAGCTTTAAACATAGTCATCTTTTGGATCAAATTTGAATACAGGTTATATATTTACCGGCCGTTTCAGATTTTGTAAAATTTGAAACTTGTTTTCAAACATTTTTAGTATTGAGGCATATAGTAATAAACTAGTGCTTTGGCATATCTAACCTGAAAGTGTAATCATAGTCTTGAAAATTATTATTTTTTATTGAAAAATTTGAATTTGAACTATAATCATTAAAGCTAACCAGATTTTCTTAAAAACCATCTGAGCTGATGTATTAAGAGAAATCACAAAAAAGATAAAGAATTTAAAGAAAGATGTAGCCAAGTTTCTCCAGTCTAATTGCAAGAGTTTTTATATTTTTCATAATAATAAACTAGACCTATTTGAAACAAATACAAAAATTTCTTCCTCTAAGAAATTTCTATTTCAAACAAGCCTCTCATTCAAAACTACCATCAGTATCAAAATCCAAATGCATATTTGCCAACCTCAGGATACAGCCAACAATCAAGTATAGAAATCCCACTAAATTCCATCCTCTCTACATCAAAGCACATAGAGAATAATTTATTAAACCCCGTCTAAGCCCTCTAAAATTCCCAAAAAACCTTAAACCCCAACTTCATTTTTTCCCTAAAAATTCCAGCATCCACTAAACCTGCTACAGAATTATAAATCTGGAGATTTTCAAATTTTTTGTATTCAGACTGTAGGATCCTTCATGGCCAGATTTTGTTAAATTATTGGGATGATTGTTCAGGGATTCAGCTGGGCTGAGCTTTGGGGTTTTGGGGTTTTGGGGTTTTGGGG